TTTAAAAATGGAAGAAAAGCTGGGACGAGTTACGGAAACGCATCGGCCGAGACCCCTTTAAAATTTCCAACGAGAAGGAGGTACCCCCAGACTGTGTTTTAAAGAGCCACCATTTATAGGGACAATTCGATTTATCCCGGTAAAACAATGCCCCCGTCTACATTCGTCTCGGTGTCTTTTATTTCTCGACAAATGGACTGGATCAAACTTACGCGTCGACAAACGCGTTTCATGCTTCGACTTTATTCTTTTTTTTTTCTCACACCTGCGCTTTTCGTATCCCCGCCAATCTGTTCGATTTACACGTTTCCTATTAACTATATAATATAATACGTAATATCGTCGAACCAACGAAAACGCGAATAATCCCGATAACAACTAAACATACTTTCATCTTTTCTTTCCTCCATTTTCCAAAATTTGCTCGTCCAACCCTCCCCTTTCCTCCTTTCCACATTTACCCTCGGACAACTACCACCACTTGGCCCTTCTCAACGTCGTCCACTTTTATCTAGTTCACCGCTCCGGTATACCACACCAGGCGAATCACGCTCAGATAACCTCGTTAAACTTGACTCACCCTTTTCTAACAATAACGTAACCAGACCGGCTCGAAAAAAAGGGGTAGACGAGATGCATCTGGCCGGATTAGAATCTGACCTTTCGTAATCGCTTTAAAACCAACGACTAATTTATTCCCGATATATATATATACCAAAGCCGCGATTTAGTCTCGTCCTTTCCACTCGAATACAAAATACGGATCTGGATCCTATCATCGGTCCTTGTTCTCGTTCTCCACTAACTTTTCTATCATGGGGATACGCGGGAAACGAGGATGATACACGGGGCCGGGGGGAAATATCGATCGAGGCATCGCGATACTTGGATGCGACTCGGTTGAATTTCGACGAGTGCCCTCCATTTTCCTTCCTTTCTACTTTCGCCCCGCCATCGATATGCCGATTCCCACGGGGACGGGATAGAAATTATCATCTCGCGCCGATATTACGTACGCCGCGTTTCCAACGCGATAAGGAGGAACGAGGATAAATGAATCGATAAAAGAAGAGATTCGATCTTTCGTTCCTTCCCTCCGAGTAATTTCTATAGGTATATATATAGAGGGAATTCGTTGCCTTTTTATCCCAAGATAAAGATGCAATGATTTATTTTAAAAAGAGGGAAGAATATTTCAAAGATTCGTCGTTGAAATAGTTTTCGACGAATCTTTTTTTGACGAAACGAGGCGAATCAATTTGGAAAAAAATAGTCAAATTTTTAATAACAAAATAAGACGATCGAACGAATAAAAAAAGAAAGCTTGAGTAATTTTTAAGATAAATATTTCCGTTCTACAAATTTTTCGTCGGATTATCCATCGTAAAAATCGACTTAAAGCGATGATTTTTCAGAATTGCGCGTCAAAGGAGATATCGAAGGAGAAAAGGTAGGATTTTTCTCGGGGAAATTCAAAGGGTTTTCACGCGATGGCGATATATTCTACCGCTTAAAGACAAACCCGAGGGCACAATTGCAAATGACAAAGTTCTTCGTTTCCCTTTCGGATTCCACTCTTGCCGCGTTATTTCGTCGGTTGATGGATGATTCGTGTCGAAAAATCGATCGCCGATTCGAGCGACAACTCGAAATTCAAGTTTGACAAAGGGAGACCGACATGTCGATTGTTTCTCCTGTCGAAGAAAATTGAGTAAAAATCGATAAAAAGGATATGCTTTTCAGCGGTTGATCGAATACAGACGGTGGAAAATTTCAGGGAAAACCGCGTCCAAACTATTAATCGAAATACGATTCAAAGAAGACGAAATAAAAATTTATATGTGTATACATATATATTGGAAAAAGTTTTGTTCTTTGTAATTAAATATCGGTAATTGGCAATGCTTAAATGCTTAAATTACAAAAGATTAAAATGATTTTCGCGATATGATGCTTCGATCAAGGATAGCTTTCAAATTTATCGCATTTTTATTTAAATATTATTATTTAATGACACGTTCGACGACGATTATCGCTCTCGTTTCGATCGATATCTGAAATAGCGGCGACGAGGAACGACGATAATGCATTAACGTATTAAATATTGAAATGTCATTTTTCCGAATAAGATGAAAGGGATCGACTTTCTTAGAGACACGTTTGACGCGATGTATATACAATTTTATATGAAAAGAAAACTTTTATATTCGATGTTCGACGTTAGTAGCTCGCCCCATCTTCTTATACAGTTTTTCCATTTTCTTAATTTCGATATAGGATTATTATACTATTGAGATCTTTACCTGGGAAAATTAACTCGATATAATTAAAACACAGAGGGAAGAGAGATATGCGATACACGATTCCTCTTACGACGAGAAAGAAATTAAAAAACAATTCTCTCTGTACGCTTCTTCGCCACTGTGATAAAAATATTATTCCGTTTTTCTTTGGCGAAGCGGAACGCCCTCCCGACAAGCGTGGTGAACAGAGGGTCGTGGTGAAACGCGACAACGATTCGAACGAGTCTTATCCCTGGATCGGATGGTCTCGCCGCGTTCCAATTAGCGCGCTCGAATCGCGCCACATAAGGCGAAAGCTGCACGCACAATCGGTACGCTAAAAAACGCAGCGTGCCCCTCCGACCGAACAACAATGGACCGTTGATTTTGCATTCGCTTCCGAGCAAGGGGGTTGCTGCTACCTCCCTCTCTACCCTCGCCCTTTCCGCTAAACTAAACCCTCCCCCCCTCTACCGCCTCTTATCGATCCCTTCACGGTTTTCTTCTTTATTTCTACGTTTCATTGTGCGATCGTTGCGCCCATGATTCCTAACCTCCGTGTTTTGACGTAATCCCATAAAGCGCGTTATTCTTGTGTAAATAGCCGCTCGCCCACCGAGGGTTCGAAAGCGATACGTTGGTCCACAGATAGGGGGATGCGTCCGCCCGGTTAATTGCTCAAACTGGTGGGAATCTCCTTCCTTTCCTTTTCCCCGACCCAACCTTTCCATTCCCTTCTGGGACTCCCATCTCGGAGTTTATTTTATTCTCTCGCTTTCCTTTTCCTTTTCTCTTCATCGCAACTTTGAATACCGCGATGCGATATTGAAAATTCGGAGAATTTTAGAATTTTTGATCGCTTCTACGAAACATACGAAATTTCGTTTCGATTTTAATCAGGTATCAGGGATAGAGACGATTATCAAAATCTTTCAATCGATATCGAATTTTTAGTTTATTTTAATTACACTTGGAAGGTGAGTTATTCTTGGAAAAACGATATTTCCCGGCCTTGAATTCGGAAAAGTTCGGGAACCCAAGAGTGACGCAAATTCTGAAGCATCGCGATTTCTTAAGATTCTCGAATAGTTCGTTAACTATCCTCGGCTAAGTTTAAAACGACCGAAACTTTCATAAGATCCTTGAAAATCCGCGTAGTCGCGATATTTTATGGTAAATCTTGGGAACTTTTGTAAAAAAAAAAAAAAAAAAGAAAAACCATCAGATTATACGCGTTACGTCCACGTGTAAAATCATCTCGCAACTTTGTCCTTTTGATTAAACTTAAAAAAATATCATTTTCAAAAAATTTCCTTCGCACTTTCACTCCTTATTAACCCGCATCAAATATTTCGAGACAAATTCCCATAGAATCATCCTTTCCGCTTCTATTTATCGAATCTGAAACGTTATCAAACGTTAACCTATAATCCTTAAAAGGATATAAAAGCAGGCTGTATAATATATGGTGAGAAAGGGGCTCGTGAAAGATGCGTTACGCGTTTGTTTGATTACACACAAAGGAAGGGTGGGCAGATTTTGGGGCTTGGATGGGTTGCTTAATCCCTGTTTCGACGAAATCGAGGGGTGGCTAGGTCCATTGTAAATAAATTATCGAGATTGAACGAGACAACCCGGAGAATTTTTGCGATCTAGGATCGTAGAAACGGTATAGGCACATTGTACGCTCGTATCGTTTCGAGAGCGTAGATTTTTGGTAAAACGTGAAATTCGCGAAACTTTGAAACTTGCATTCGAACGAGATTGTTTCATTTTCCATTTCATATTTTCGTTCCAAAAGTTTAACGCAGATATTAAAATCGTCCCATTACGTATCTTTTCTCCAATCCCGATGAATATTATTTATTGTTGAGAGACGGCAGAGTCCTAGATTCTTACGCGCAATTATTCGTCCGAACCGATTCTTTCAGCGAGACGCAAAAAAGTGCAACGTTCTTCCCTCCCTCTTCCTTTTTTCTTTCCTCCGCATCGCTTTATTCCGGATCCTCCATTGAATTCTTATTGACATTTTCGGTTGTATTCTATATTCAGATATATTTTATTCTTCCATTCCAATTTTTATTCATTGTTCCGATCTCGAGAATCGTTTCGATCTTAAACCAGACGCGATCGTCTATTAATCGACGTTTGAATTTGTATCTCATTTAAAAAAAAAAAGAAAGAAAGAAACGTACACACATTCATAATGATGGATGATATTTTTCAGATATTATACTTCTCCCGTGAATACGATTTTATTTATTAATGAGTTCAAACGATACGAGATGGTATTAAACATCGTATTCTATGAGACAACTCTTTTAAAATTAAAAAATTGATATTCGAAAAGATGACAGGATAGAAAAATGTATCGATATCGTAAGATCTGTTCGATCGATCCGCGGAAAGTTGGTCACGAGGATTAATAAATAGGAAGGATGAAGATAAATCGGTGTAAAGAATAGAGTTTCTTTTTTCTCGACTCGACGACCAAGACGGAAGAAATCTCCGAGCTATTTTCATGGAATTTCGCGCGCGGCGCGACACTACTGGAAAATCGGCGAGGATGGCCTCGTTGATTTATCACCGATCTATTTGAAAGCGGCGACAATCGTTCCTGCCGGGAATTCGTGTCACTGGCCGCGATATATCGTGCTACGTCTTCGCACTCCCCTTGTCCAATTTTCAGCGCAAAGTCGACCAAACGTACGAACGAAAATTATTTCGTCCACGTGTACGTTTTATTTCGTTCACTTGATCCTACTGTATCGATCTGCGTTATAAAATGAAATATGCGCTTTGTACACTCGCTGTATAAAAACAAAAAAGAAAAAAATGTCGCTAATTTGAAAATCCATTTGTAAAGTTTCAGCCGAAATTGCGATCGAAATTTCTCTCTCTCTCTCTCTCTCTTTGTCTCTCGATATTCCGTAACAAAAGGAACATCGGTCCGATCAAACGTGACGTAGTGAAATGGAACGTAATATCCACGATGACGCGTGTTCGATTAATCTATCATCGCGCGTTACGATTGATCGAAAGGACAAGATTGTTTCGTACGATTGCCATCCGAGAATTATACGTTTGCAATCCTTTCGTCCTCCGCGAAAAACGCGCGATTCCACGCTTTCGTTCGGAATTCGTTTAACATCTCCGTTAACATTTTCTCTCTCCCGCAATTTCCATTTATAATCTTCGATTTCCAATTATTCTCGCCCATGAAATTCATTCGTCACGTCTCATCACAATTCATCCACATCTCGTAATATCCTCGAAGGACGTATCCCCTCATCGCCTCGATACGTCCTCCTTCGCTTCCCCCGCAACTCTGAGTTATGGTTACCGTCACTTTTTCCTCGTTCACGCTTGTCATCCGCCGCGAAATTTACGCGAGTCCGCGGGTAAAATAGGCATCCAATTCTCCTTTATCGTTGCGACTCGGATGCGATGCAACTATTAGCGAACGGGTTTAAGGGATTAATTCCGTTTATCGGCAAAGATGGAAGATAGACATTTGTAGGCGGAGCGAGAGAGAGACAGAGAGAGCCGAACCTCGTAAAAAGCGGTAATTCTCTTCGCGCGTATAACTCAATTCGCCTTTTATTCTCGCTCCGCTTACTCCGGTTTCACTTTACCCCTTTTCGCTTTATCGTCGTATTACGAATTTAAGGAATTTTAAAACCGACTCCAACCCCACCACGAGTTTCCAATCCCGCCAATGAAATTTATCGCCCCTCCGTGTATTTTTTCAAAGTCCCGCGCATTATCAAAATATATAAATCATAAACGGGAAAATTTGGATCGATACCCGATTTAATAACGGCGGCGAAACTCTGGCCAGTGGCGAAACGCAGCGTGTACACGTACGTAGGGATCGCGGCATCTCGATCGAGAGCAGGTGAATCCCTGGAAGCGAGAGAGGAGGAGAGCGCGCGACGGGTGTCTGGCTGGAATTCAATTTGATCGTTCCATTCGTCTTCGCATCGGTGTCGAGATACACTACGCGCAACCCTGTCCGTGCCGGGACATCGACCCCCCGTTTCTCCATTTATCCTCCTCCCCTTTGTGCCCAAGAGGCCGCCGCGCCATCGACCACGCGTAAACGTTTATTAATGCGCGTAAATCAAAACGGTCCTCGATTAGTCCACCAATCTTCTCGAAAGCGATTCGCGCGAAAACGCGTTTCGTAATCCCATTATTTCCCATTATTCCCCATAACCTTCCGTCCGAAAAAAATTTAAAAACCCGATTCATTTAACCGAAAATTAACATCTCGTTCAACATTTCTGCAATTTATTTTGCCATTTATAAATATAATGATAATAAACATAGAAAATTTGTATATCAAAATATCATTCGTCGATACTTACCGATCAGAGGGTATCTATACAATTGTAACAATCACCATCCCAAAAGTATTCATCGTGTCGTAAATATAAAAAGGGAGAGAGAAAAAAATCTCCCTTCTGGCAACGGTAGCACGCGTCAAAATAATCGAATGACGCTCTGCCGATGCGATACGGCATTAATCATTGTTCTTTCAGAACGAATCACCCTATACCCTACACGATCGAACCATGGACTTCATTAACGCGCGTATCAATCGCATTACCACTCGACCTAATGACCCCCCGATGAGATCGGCAAGGGACAGAACGTGTCCAAACATCCTCAACCCCTCACCACCCCTTCTTTCCGTGACGATGTTACGTTTTCCTCATCCGCATATGCGAGAACCAATGTTATTCGTTATTCGTTATACGATTCAACTTTTAACCGTAGAATTCTTTAATCCTGTTTAAAAAAAAGAAAAGAATGAAAACACAATTCGACGAAGCAGAATGCCACGTACGTAAAAACGTCCAACGCGCGCGGTTATTCCTCCTTCTCTTCCTCCTCTTTTCTTCTCAACCTCTCTCTCGTCGATCCCTCGTCGGCCATCGCATAAAATTTAAAAATGGTAATGGTAGCGGCCGCGATTCTGATTAAAATTTGCCGCGTTTGCTAGATATACAGAGAAAAAGAATAAGAATCCATCGATCTTTCTCGTCGTTTATTCTCTAACGCGTGATAAATTGACATTGAAACGGGATTAATCTCGAGTAATTAACACGCATCTTTACGACGGGGATGGGCTTTCGAATTATTTTCGACACTGCGTTATTGCGGCACCCCCGCGGCAATCCCGACAAAAGAAGGATCGTGTGCGCGCATATATAATACGTATATGTATAAATAGACTTAGGGGATGAAAGAGGGCAAACTGGCTTTTGAGTCTCGCTAGCATAAATCGCGAGCCACCCTCCTCCTGGGAGGATTTCGACGTGGCCGTGGGGTAATAATTCCATGATTATTTCACGAACGGAAAATACAAAGAGCGAGAGTAGTGGGAAACAAAAACAAGGGAAAAAAGGAAAAAACGTATAAAGAGGGGGAGAGAAAGTAAAAGCAACGCGACGAGTAGCCACGTATATACGTATGTAATAGTAATAAAGTAAGAAAGACGAAGAGTAAGGGAAGACGGGAGGATGGCGGCTCTTTCTCCCTCTCGTGAATATGCATGCGTCGAAATTTATAACCGGGCAACGGAGGGGCAGAGCGTAATTGTAGAGCGGGCGCGAGTTTCGAGGGGCCGCGACGCTATAATGGAACCAAAACATCCCTTAGGCCGGCCAAAACTTTAATTATATTTCGACTCCCCATCACCAAGGTACACAAACCAGCCTCGCTAATAACCAGAAAGCACCGTTCTACCGGCCTCGCCGTTTTTTCTCTCCCGTTGCGCGATCTGCGAGCATACGTGCGTTTTCCACTGCCAATTCTACTATTGCGTGATCAAGAATACGTTCACAGCCAATTCTCTCCCTTGTTTTCGATCTATCCGAATTTTCGATTTCACCGAATAATTTCGCCCGTGCGTGTGTGCGTGCATACGTGCGTGCATGGATCCATCCAACGATCCAGAGTGACAAAAATTTCCTCTCCGTGGAGTTGGTAAAAAAGAAAAAAAAAAAAAAAAAA